TTCTTATGTAGACCAATTGTAAATTTGCGGAAATTAAATAAATCATAAATTTCCATGATTAAAGAGAAAAAACTTTCAATATTTAACAGCAATATAGACATGATTCTTCCTAATGAACTGACTTTAAAACTCCTCAATGTTTGTTTGTTTGTTTGTTTGTTACACATAAACTTTGTGTTTAATTTAAAGTTTTATGTTGTGTTGTGTTTTTAGGAGATATTTTCTTCTTTGACTCATCTTTGGCAAAATGTTTAAATTATTCAGAGGRATCTGATATATTTTTCTGACTAAAACTGATAGAAACAGATGTATTCTTGCTGACTCTTCAGAATTAGTTGGTTTGTGTGAGTCTGTTGGGTGGCTCATGATGTGTCTAGTTTCTGTGCAGTTGTCAGTTTTGTCTGTTCATCTCCTCCAGCTGGACTTCTGCTGCAGCGCCCTCTCCTGGATGACTGAAGCTCTGTCTCAGAGTAACCTGGTTCAAACCAAGAAGCCGGCTCCATCACTCAAAGGTAGACCTCTCAGTCCTCTAACACATATCCAGTCACGACGTGACAGACAGTAATGTTTTTGCAGGTATATGTGTGAGTGTGTGTCTGCTACAAAAAAAATCTCATGAAAAAAGACAGATTTTAAAAAATTGCATAAAGCAATCATCAGCTGTTCGTGTCTCTCTAGTATCAACACTGTACAGACATCACTGGATGTTTTACAACTTTTGAGTCTAGCCAGTTAAAAAAGGCTGCTCATAGCCATCTGACCTGAACACAACGTTTACTTTAAACTCTCAAGTCATTTTTTACATTTTTTTTTAGTCTCAGCTAATAAAACACCATGAGTTATTKGTGTGGCAGACAAAAACTATTTCATAAACCTTTTAAATGCATTGCTTTTGAAATGTGTTTATCTGCATGTGCAAATAGCTGCAGCAGCAACTAGATGCATCATATCTAGCACAGTGATAGAAAATTGAAAACTGTGTAAAACCTATTATAAATTCATTGAAAATGTGAATATTGGCATTTTAAGACTGAAAAAACTGAAATGGGCCCTCTAAAACTAAAGTCTTGAACTTATAATGGTTCATCCAGGAGGACATAGCAAATCCTATAATTTAAACTTTTACACCGCTGTCAGTTTAACAGTACTTGGCTAGATATTTTATGAAACAATGGCTAAAACTGACCTTAGACTGCAGTAAAAATGTGCTCCAGGTAGCAGCTGTTTCAATTACTGCTGCAAATAAGCACAGAATTACATGTAAATTAATGGCTAGTTGAAGCTTAAAGTCAATGAACTTTAGGGAATAAAGACATGTCAAGATGGCAGCAATTTATTTTGGTTTAAGTGTGAATTAAAGTCATAATTAAACTATTTATCCAAACTGAGGTTGTTTGAAAAATTATCTACAAGGTGAGAAATTAATTGATTGTTTTACATAAATCCACCTCTTCAAACCATCAAAATAACCCYCTATACCCTTTAGTTGAATCGTCCTGCTGTTCAACTAAAGAAAGAAACTGCTAAAAGTWAGGGTTGGTCAAAGCTTTAGTGTCATGGTTTTTTTTAAATAAAACTTAATGGTGATCTGGACTAAAGTCAGCCAGTCCCACTCTAAAGGATTCTGTTCAGGAAAGTTTTAATAATTGCCTTTTTTTCTTTTTTCTTTTTTTTTCTTTTTGTAGAAACTACTGCAGTGTCTCCAAGCTGACTCACTATATTTGAAGATGAAGTTCACCACCACTGAGAGTGACTTCAACCTTGGACATTTTTAACCTGCAGATCTCAACTGACAATAATTACCATTTAAATTACCCTAAACCATGTCCATTTTCACATCTAAAACTAGCGTAGTTTTTGAAGAAAACAACTTTTCTTAAAAATATTGTTAAAATTTTGTCTCTCGTCATGAAAAGAGATGAGACATGTCTTTACATCCCTAGAGAAAAATTAAGCTGGTCGATATGTGCATTTGTTTATATACATATTTTACATCTTGTCGTCATTTATTTTGTTTTGCACTATATATTGTTTAGGGTGAATTATTTTATTTTATTTTTACATTTATTCTTATGCCATGCATTACTGCTGCACTCAGCCTGCCACACCTACCCTCACCTGTTCCCACTCAGCAATCAACCTGGGTCTGTCTGCCATATTGTGGGTGTCCCAGTGTCTCCTCATGGCTCCTTGTGCTGCTTTGGATTGTGTGTGCTTGTTTTGACTGCCTCATCGGTCCAACTATTGTGAAATGCACCAAAGCTCCGGAGGGTGTGGCTGAGTGGTTAGACCAATGCTGTCTCACTCTGAACATGAACAAAATGAAAAGTGTGTTTGTCTCTAAAACTAAACTACACACTTCAAATRCAAATATTTACATTAAGGAGTAATTAATACTATATGACTGAATTTAAATAACTTGGAGTTTTATTGGATCTAAATCTTAATTACATTCTTAAAAAAATTGTAAAAAAAAAACAACACATTTGTTTTCTGTTAGCATCAAGGAAACACATCTTGGGTTGTTTTCCACACCTTATGTGTTGTTAAATGTGTCAAATTGAACACAAAAGTGCTGGGTTGGGACTCATTTTGTGTTGATGCTGGCACATCTGTTTTAAGAGTGTACAAGAAATGCATCAAAAAATGTCACAAACTGTTAAATATATCTGTCACGTTTTAGCGTATCAAACCCACCGTGTCAATGGAACCATCCAAAATACGAATGCATGCAGTCATTTTTTGTACACATTTTATACTTTCTTACATGTTGGGGACAAGCCAACAGTAAAACATTTAGAATCTTTATACAAACAGGCCCTTTAATTCATTGACACAAAGACCTGTCAACATCACCGCTGTGAGATTATGTAGAAACTAAAGATTCATACATTTAAGAATTTTGGAATATTCTTTATCTCATTCTTTCATATGTAAATATAAATATACATTCACACATGTATGTATGGAGAGAGAGCGTGTAAAATTTCAAATAATTTAGGACCAAATATCTATCTATTAAAAACCAATATCTATGCAAAACTGTAGAACTCATCRAGCAGCTTTTTCTGTTAAAGCCATCGCTCAATAAAATGCTGCTCCTGATCCAGTAAATACGGCAGCAGAATGGGGCCATTTTCCGCTTGTAATTATTTTCCATGGTTGTCTTGTTACGTCGTTATCCTGAAATAACGTAGGGTGTTTTCTTGAGATAACGAGTTATGGTTTTCTTGTGCATCATTCAGTAATCATGGAGACGGCCCGATCCCCTCAGCTGGTGACCGACAAAGTTGATTATATCATCAAGATCACTGTGTAAACACCTGCTGATCTCCAGTCGGGCCAGCTGTCTCCTTAAATGACGATGGTTGATATGAAAGTTATCTGTAGACAAAGAAATCACAATTTCTGCCTGTTTAATACAAAAAATGACACAAAATTATGAACAAATAATAAGGCTGCATTCAGGGCAAAGTCACCCTTGCAAAAGAGATCTACGATCTCAATGGTATTTGCCTGGTTATGGTGAATGAATGAATGAATGAATGAATGAATGAATGAATGAATGAATGAATGAATGAATGAATGAATGAAAGGGGGACCAGGCCATCTCCATGGTTACTGAATGAGACACGAGGAAAACCATCTGGAAATTACCTTGTCATCTCGGGAAAATGGTCATCGTTATCTCATGATAACGACACAATTAACTCGTCATCACGACATAAAGAAATATGTCGTCATCTCAAGAAAACCATGGGGGAAAATTACTTGCGGAAAATGGCCGCTCTCGGCTTCCGTAGGTAAAAACCTGCACTTCTTTCTTTAGTTTAAAAATATAATATAAAGAATTATCCCACATCTGCTCAATACTTCAATCACTACATTTTATTAGGTAATCAACAACTTCAGTTACTCTTAACAATGGGGTTGGGYGTGTTTTTAATTAATTTGTGAAATATTTGTTTTTATTGGTTTAATTGAGGTGGGATGTTTTTATTTTTACTGATGGAGTTATTTATTGTTTAGGGGGACTACAGTTGAAAATTAGCCCAAGGATAAATCTGGGGCAACATATTAAATGTTTCAATAGTTGGTATTGTACACTGTCTTTATTAGATCAAGTTAAATGAGCAAAAATGTGTTTTCCTTGTTCATCTCTATTTTCTTTACTAACTTTATTTCCACATGTTTCAGACATTTTAAAACAGAATGTTCACTTCCTTTAAGACAGACACATAAACATGATGTTTATGTAATGGAACTTTGTCATCTAAAGTATACTCMAAACCTGAATTTGATTTTGAAATTGATTCTTGAATCTGAACTGGTTCTTGGTTGTTCTTCTCAAAAAAAAAAATCTCCTGAATTTTTTGTCTAAAAACAATAAGGTAGCATGACTTGGGTGTGTAAAATTTCATCTAAATGAACCACCAGACTTCTAAGACAATGTCTCTTGAACAGAYATGGCCTAAGTAGAGATGTTTACCCATTGTGCACAGCTCCATGTAAAGCATTTCAACACAAACACCTCCTCCCAGCTGTCAACACGGTGGTGAAGGGCTGATGGTTTGGGCTCTTTGCAGTAACTGAGTGGTCCATGAACTCCTCTGTAAATCAAAGTGTTCTAGAGTCAAATGGAAGTCCATCTGTCTGACATTTGAAGTTTGGACCAAACATGGGTCCAACAGACCAAAGAACCCAAACACAACAGCTGATCCACAACAGAACGGGTCACAAAGAAAAGAATCAATGCRCTTCACTGGTCCAGTCAGAGTCCAGAGAACTGAAGAAAATTTTCATTATAATAACCACTGATGGCCTTCATCTCAGTGCTGAAGTATCACTCTGTACTGTTTACATGTAGAAGCCACAGTTTAAGGTCTTGTGTGTACTGTATACTGAGTCATTAGTACAGAAAAGTATACAAAAATTAATATTTTTACATGAATAAACATATTCTGCATTTTGTGGAAACAGAATTCAAGAGYACTCTGTAACGAGCCTTCAACAAGACTGTTCAAGTTTTTGGGGGAATGAAATGCTGACAATGCAGTAGCCTAAAATCAAAACCTATTCTAACCAGACCAGAACAAAACCTAGAGAGATTGATTGATTGATTGATTGATTGATTGATTGATTGATGCCTTTATTGTCATTGTACAGAGCACAATGAAATTACATTTAAGAACACCCATTCACATGACAAAAACATGGGGAAACAGGTGTTCATGTCATGCAGCAACCAGCAGGGGTCGCCCTACCTTTAAAACGAAAACCGAAAAACCACAGAAGGTTGGATGAGGGAAAAAAACATCATATTAACGAAATATGACACACTATGGTGTTTATGAAAAACAAATACTCTACAAATAAGAGCACATTTATTAGCCAGAGGAGTAAGTAGTTTAGAGGAAATTAGTCAGAATAATCCAGCTTCACAAAAGATAAACCCCATAGTTCAGCCAAGTTCAGAATATTGTTGAGTTGTTCATTCTGTGAAGCTCCAGGTTGACCTTCAGGAAAGATTAAACGGGATGAGAGAGTGAGAGGTGGGGGTAGGAGCCTCAAGTCGACGTAAACACCAGGAGAAATTTGATCCACCGCCTGGAGGGGGCACAAATCTGTAATCTGCTGTTTGGGAACCAGAAGTACTTTTGGGCTGGCAGACAATAACAAATTTTCATCTGTCTTAATGTTCGCTGGTATCCAATGTGGCAAATCCAATCAGACAAATAATGTGAACAATCCCGCCGAGCCGAGCTATCAGCTTTCTCCAAGATCAATTCCATCTGGCCAGTCAAGTCCAGGAACCACAGCCGGCCCGAGACCCTCAGCAGAACCACTTGCAGACCGAGTCCAGCTCGCTCAAGGCAAAAGTCTGATTGCTAAAAGTACGGCAATCCTTCATGTTGGTCAGGCAGCCAGGAAATGGCCCGAATAGCCACCGACACTGTTTTGCAGAACACCAGGAGACCACCAAGCCAATCTGTAGAATCCAGTGATCGAATCCAAATATATACAGTGGTTTGCAAAAGTATTCATACC